TTTTCGTAAATACACACGACACAGCTTAGTACACACAGAAAGTTATAATTAAAAGTAATTAGAGAATTTTACTAAAAAAGTTTGTTTAACAATGACTAATTAATTTACAATTTTGGCAACAAAAATAGCTACTATGCATAGCCACTATGTATATGTCGTATTGAATATTTTCATACTTTTTCAGATTAGCAGCATGGGCAATCGTGAAAGAGACAGACATAGAAACCGTGCAAGAATTTGGGAATCTGGGGCTTCTAAAAGACCTTTTTGCTTTGCTGACACATTATATAGTAGGCCTATAGTAGCTTGTTAAGGTCGAAGGTTATTAGTCTGCGGTATATGTTATAGGGAAATTGGAAAGGGACCTCCCTTCCAACTGGGCCCCAGGCCTCTCACACACCTAATCCGGCCCTGAGTAGGAGGAGAACTGGTGAAAGGATACCAATTTGAGCCATGTTATAGCGCCGAATCTGACGACTCGTCTTCCTCTTTCATTAACTTTAGGCGCATCCAATTCTCGATTTGATCGGAATCAAAATGATCGGCACACAACCGCGACGTCCCTTTACTGAATCTAAAATCTTTCCGAGTACGGCTAACCAAACTACACTAAAATCGGATGCGGTCCGGCGATCTCTCCCGATCTGGAAACTCAAACACTCTAATATTGTCTTTCAGTTTGGATTTATCGCATCCCCACGCTGCACATCGAGTACCTCCATCTTTCCTCTGTCGTTTTGGTCGTCCTCTGCGGGCTAGAATTGTCACCAGACATTGAAATTTGTCACAATAAATGCACAATACCACATGGATGCACGCCAGCTGTTCACTTTGTTTACTAGAATAGTGGCTGATCTCCTGACCCATATACATGGTACTACGTCACACCTGTATGGGGGCGCCACCGGCAACATTTTGTAGCAGACGGATTTCAGGAGCAAAAATGCTAGATAAAATGGGCTATATAGTCTAGTGTTGTGAATGAATTTACAAAATGATGCCTTGGGATGTTTATTTAGGTTATTTATTTTGCAAATAAAGTAAAAATAATCATATTCTGCTACCCTCTGGGCTATTCCTTTAACCCCGAGACTGCTAGGAGCCACTAAACTGCCATTTTACTGTCATGTCGATTCACAAATTGGTTTTGATATAGATATTCATAAAATTGAAGAACCTTTCCATTTTTCACGATGATTCATATTTCATTATGAATTATTCTATCAAATTATAAACAGAATAACGTATAAACATTTTTTTATATATGATATATATATCCTACATTTCCTGATAACCATGTTTATATTTGTTCAGTTTTGTGGGTTCGGTCGTCGTCAGGCTTTACCAAATTCAAAACAATGTTGTAGGTACGACCGAATTTATACTTGTTGTTTGCATATAACTATACAGTGATAATGGTATATAAAACATATATAAACACAAATATATAGTATGTATATATATACACATATATATGTGTATATATATATATACATATATATATATATATATATATATATATATATATATATATATATATATATATATATATATATACATACATATATAGTAATATGTATATGCAAATATATAGGTATAGATCTGGGCCTACCATTTCTAGGGAACAAACACAAATAAACACAAATGTGTGTGTGTGTGTGTGTGTGTATTTATATGTATATATATCTGTGTGTGTGTATGTGTGTGTGTGTGCGTGTGCATGAATATATATAAATGAAATATGAATTTCACACACACACACACACTATATATATATATATATATATATATATATATATATATATATATATATATATATATATATATATGTGTGTGTGTATATATATATATATATATATATATATATATATATATATATATATATATATATATGGGTGTGTGTGTGTGCGTGTAAATATATAAATTCATACACACACGTACATGTGTGTGTATGAATTTATATATACACACACATACAAACAAACATACACACACACACACACACACACACACACACACACACACACACACACACACACACACACACACACACACACACACACACACACACACACACACACTCACAAACAAACAAACACACACACACACGTGTAAGGTTACGACGGGACACACGTCAAACTAGCCTGGTGTCACCCAGGTATAAATCAATTTACGTTATGCGCACCCCAGCCCAAAGTTAGTTAACTCTTCAGCCGTTTCCTTCAACGGTGATTCTTGTCAAGTGCTGGGGCTTCATCTCCTGTACACAAGAAGGTAAATCGGCGTCTTGTTTCCTAAGAACTAAGGAAGTGATGTGAATGCGACGGATTCTTCATATATCCACGGTATATATAGAGGTCCATTTACATAAATGTACTTATGTATGTATAAAGGTACTTACATACGCACATACACACAGAGAAAGATTGAGGGAAGATGAATGTAAAAACAAAATAAAAAAATAGAGGAAAAAGTGCATGAGTGAAATCCTCAAGTAACC